TCCTTCTCCTCCCTCGTCGTCGTCGTCGTCCGTCGTCGGCGTCTCGTCGTCGTCCCTCCTATTTCGTCGCCGTCGTCGTCGTCGTTGTCGTCGTCGTCGCCTTCCCTCCTCCCTCGTCGTTGTCGTCGTCGGCGTCGCCGTCCTTCCTCCTTCTTCGTCGTTCGCGTCGTCGCCGTCCTCCCTCCTCCCTCGTCGTTGTCGTCGTTGTCGTCGTTGTCGCCGTCGTCGTCCTCCCTCCTCCCTCGTCGTCGTCTTCGTTGGCGACGTCGTCGTCGTCGTCTTCGTCGTCGTCGTCGGCGTCGGCGTCGTCGTCGTTTTCGTCGTCGTCGACGTCGGCGTCGTCGTCGTCGCCGCCGACGTCGTCGTCGTCGGCGTCGTTGACGTCGTCGTCGTCGTGGTCGGTGTCGTCGTTGTCGTCGTCGTGGGCGTCGTCATCGTCGTCGTCGTTGTCATCGTCGTCGTCGTCGGCGTCGTCGTCGTCGTCGGTGTCGTCGTCGTCGTCATTGTCGGCGTCGTCGAAGTCGTTGGAGACGTCGTCGGTGTCGTCGTAGTCGTTGTCGGCGGCGTTGTCGTCGTCGTTGTCGCTGTCGCTGTCGTCGTCGGCGTCGCTGTCGTTGCCAAGTGCCATGTGGTACCCACCGTCACGGTCTTAAGAGATTTTGTGCAAACCAAGTTGCGGGTGGGTGGGTGGGATGTTTGCGCGAGCAGTGGAGTGGACAATTCACTGCGAACAGAAATGTATTGCATTTCACAGGTTGCATCGCATATTGCACCACGTAGATGGCACCGCATAGACTGCAAGAACTTGTTGTTTGGGGCCCACGCTGTCTTATGAATTATACATGTGTGCAAAGACATACATACATATAGAACGAAGACGCCGGCGGCGAATGACCGCCGCCCCCTGCCGTGCAACGCCTATGCGGCCAAACGTTCGGGCAAAGTTTGGCCACGTCATTGGGCCGCGCGTTCCCCCCGCCGTTGCAGAAGCCGTTCGGGGAACACGCGGGGGAGGAAAAGAACAATGAGGATTGGGAGGAAAAGAGATGACGAGGAGAAGGGTGAGTAGTCTTCTTGGGAGTTGTTTGTGTCATTCCTGGGACTTCCTGGGAGTTTCCTGGGAGGTTTTAAAGGCCTCTTTGGGGGTGGGGGCCGCCTTGGGCCAATTGGAGGCCTTTGCGCGCTTCTTGGGGGGTCGATATTGGTCCCCGTGGGATGGTGCGACTTCACATTTAAAATGAACGATTGGACAGAACCATCTGTGAATTTTATTTTCACCGGGGGGCGATACAGCCGGTTGGTGAAACATTTATGTTTTGAAAAAGATTATTTTGGAAAAGGATACTGTACGTGGCGCAATAGTTGTGGAGCTACTCATTTGGTGCAATGCATGTTGTGCACTTAGTGATGTGCCATGCATGTTGTGCAGTTCCACGATGTTGTGGAGCAACCGACGCCAAGTATGTGGAACCAGTTAGTTTGTGCAAACTACGTGGTGCAGTTCACTTTACTGGACTTGACGTTACCAATTTCATTGCTCGCGCAATTACTCCACCCACCAAACCCGCAACCTGGTTTGCAGTGTCCATGCAGCGGCGATTGCGACGACTGCTTGGCGCTGATTGGCGCATCGCTACGGCCGCGCTAGCGCGCGCAGACTCGCGCGCAGAGCGGCCAGTTAGTTTAGCGCGACCGACGCGGTCGCGGTGGCGCCGACCGCTGCGGAATTCCCAGCGCGCCTCGCAAACCGTGCTGGCGCGCGGGCATTTCTATGCAAGCCGGTGGTACGGAAGGGCGCGATAGCATTGCGATGTCGACAACGGCAAACACGATGATAGTAGTAGCAATGATAATGACGATGGTGACGATGACGACGGCAAGGCCAAGTGTCGGTGATTAGGGTTTGGGAAGATTTCGCCATGCGCGCGCGGCCGACGTGGTCGAGTGGCCCGCGTGGTCGTGATGATCGTGATGATCGCGCCCCTCCCCCCTCCCAGCATGCGCGCACAGGCGTTCGACGGATTCCAACATGCGCGCGAGAATGGCCCACACGGTCTCATTGTACGAAAATACGGAAGATCGGATTCCCTGATGTATTCGCAAAAGTTCGCGCGCAGACCTTGACATGATTGTTTCATTGGAAGCGTTGCAAAGCCAGTTTGGGCCATTGTTTGGTAATATGCTACTGGAAGTGATGTAATGGCTTTAACTGTTCTTGCGAAATTCGATATTGAAATCACTACGACAACCCTGGTGTTTGATTAATTTTGGCATGCGCGCGTGTGCCGATGTTGTCCAGTTTGTTGCGAGAGTTTGTTGAACACGTATGATTTGTGATACAGTTTGACTGGGGTGAGAAGTGGGCGGTAACGGTCATTTTCAAAATGAACGGTGGGGCGCATTCATTTGTAAATTGTACCATTTCAAGGGGGACCGATATTTCCAGGGGGGGGTACATCATGGTTAGATTTGGGAAACGAAGTCGACGGGCGGCGACGAGGCGGCGACGGGGCGGCGATGGGGCGGCGATGGCGACAACATAGCCGCCAGAGTGACGCACATGCCCTGACGATGGGCGGCGACGGGGCGGCGACGGCGACCACATAACCGCCGGACCGACGCACAGGCGCTGACGATGGGTGGCGGCGAGGCGGCGACGGCGACCACAGCCGCCTGACCGACGCACAGGCCCTGACGATGGGCGGCGGCGCGCAGCGACGGGGCGGCGTCTGCGACCAAATAGCGGCCGCCAGACCGACGTGAAGGCCCATGTCTTAATTCCAGAAGTAGGAACTCCTAAGTGCAAGCACTAGTACTTCGGGAAACACCACCAAAAGTTCAGCACGCCGTGCGCCCCTGTTGCAAACCACAAGGGGCGGCGGAAATAGTGGCCTTTCGCCCATCCCGCCACTGTGCCTGGGCTGTGGTCCGAGTGCACATGGATATTTTCGGAAGGCTTTCGGTGACCTCTGGAGGCCGGAGCCCCTTAAGGGCTGGGGCATCTTGGGGCCTCCTGGGACCATCGTGGTGCAGAGAGTTCGAAACTGCGAATCGTGTTTCCTCTGGGGTCGTTCTTGGGACTTTCTTGGGGTTCTCCTGAACAGTCTTGGAGGCCTCTCGGGGCGTCTCGGCCCCTCTTTGGGTCCTTTTAGGCAGTATTGGAGTGATTTGGGGGGCCTCTTGGGTTTCGTAGGAGCGTCGGGACGGAAACGCAAGACTCATTCACCAAGTTCCAAATCAGTCACTGATGTGTTCCTCTTGGGCCCTGTTGGGAGTGCTTTTGGAGACCTCTTGTGACGTCTTGGAGGTATCTTTGGCCGTCTGGAGGTCATCTCTGGTGTCTTGGAGCGATCCTTCGGCGCATCGCAGCCCCATTGGACACATCGGAGGGTTCGGGAGGTCGTTCTGGGCGGTCACAGCGGCCAGAGGACTGGCATGAAACGCTCCAGAACGCACGTGGAACACTCTGGAAATTTCCCAGAACACCGGGGATCCAGGCCCTAAAGAAATTGCAATCCGAGCTGCAGAAGCAGGACAGCTGTGAACCGTGGTTACTCCACGAAGTGTCAGAAGCACGTTGGCGGACGCATCGATATTTAGATCGTATAAAGCTATATAACAATTTCACATCGTTGTATTCCGATGTAGTGTAAAAAGCATAGTATGTTTCATTGCATAATGTAAGTGGTAAAGTAGTGTGTATGTAGTACAGTATAACATGTTATACAATAAATCAAATACGATCTGCCTATAACATAGCATACTATGAAATGTCAGTGATCGTTCATGTATAACACATGTCGTAAACAAATAGGTACATGCATATGCATACATATATGCATATGTATGTGACCGTGTTAATGCAACGGGAATTCATATACAGAAAACGGATATGCCTTGATCTTTGGTGCGTTGGCGGAGTTGGGTTTGGAGTGCCCTTGGAGAGCCCGAAGACGGCCCCAGAGTGCCCCAAGAGGACCCCAAGACGGGCCAAAAGGGTTCCCAGAGGTAGTTCTGTTTGTTCAAGAGGGCCGAGTCGCCGAGCGATCGGCCCAAGGCGCTCCAGATGGCCTCCAGATGGCCCAGGAGGCTTCCAAGACGCCTCAAGGGCCCTCCAAGAGCCCTCCCAAGAAAGTTCCAAGAGGCAAACAACGTCCCATCCCTTTTCGGAAACAATGGTTGTTTAACATATGCGACTGTTCGGCCTTCACGGCGTCCAAGACGGGCCAAGAGGCTTCCCATATCATCCCAAGACGGCCCAAGAGGCCCCCAAGAGGACCGCCAGACGCCCCAAGAGGGCCCCAAGACGACCCACGAAGAGCCCAAGGGGACCCTCAGAGGGGTCCAAGGGGGGGAACTCGAATTAAGAACTTCAGCCCTCCGCCGCAAAGGGGCCCCCCCAGAGGTCCCAAAAGGCCTCACAGATGCCTTAAATAAGCCCCGAAAGGCGTTCGAAAGGCTCCCGAGAGGCCCAAGAGGCCTTCTTACAGGCCACAGTAGCTCTGACCTCTTAACTGACAAACGACCGCGCGCCATAGCCGTCCTAACCCGATCATAGACCAAGCGCCAATCAGAACGACGACGATCATAAACTTTATATGTACACGTACATACATACAAATACTTATGTGTGTATATAGACAGACATGTACGACACACTTGCGCATACACATACACATACGCAGAGAAGCACACGTGAAAGAGAGAGACAGAGAGGGATATGAACAGTTTACGCCGATGCGGACATGGCACCATGGTTGCACATCATTACTAGAGTGGCGATACTCTTGGCCATGACTGCAGCAATGAATGCAGTCAACTTCTGGTTGTGACACGCCTTGGCATCATCGAAGCGGAGATGACGGCGGCAAACCGAATATTCGGCGGCAAACTAAAGATTGTGTTCATGCAGATCAGCGGGAAGAGCAGAATGGCGAGAAGTGGATGAGGCCAGACAGGGAACGTCAGATGGGTTGTCAGCTTCCTTGGTTGCAGCTGAGGTGGTTCAAGCTGCCGAACTTCTTCTGAACAGCGTCTGGCATTCGGCGGAGCGGCGCGGTGGAGTTGCAGCCAAGTTTTGCCGCCGAATTGTTTAAGCAGCGTTGCTTGGCTTGCACTTGTTTTTACAGGCGGTGCTCCTTGCTTGAGACGAGGTGCGAATAGGATCAAGTTTCTCGTGCGTGTAGCATGGATGTCCCAACGCTCTTCCACCAAAAGCAGGCCGAGCCGTCCAGCGCCTCCGGGGCCTCTCTTCACGGCGAAGCCCCTGCTCCGCCGTGACTTCCAGCGAAGCCCTGTAGGATCGTGCGCCCAGGTGGAGGGGCGGCAATGAGAGAAGATGAAGAGGGAGAAGGGAGGAGGGAGGAGGAGGAGGAGGAGGAGGAGGAGGAGGAGGAGGAGGAGGAGGAGGAGGAGGAGGAGGAGGAGAGGAGGAGGAGGAGGAGGAGGAGGAGGAGGAGGAGGAGGAGGAGGAGGAGGAGGAGGAGGAGGAGGAGGAGGAGGAGGGAGGAGGGAGGAGGAGGAGGAGGAGGAGAAGGAGGAGGAGGAGGAAAGAAGATGAGGAGGAGGAGGTCTAGCGCCAGAAAGCCGAATTTCGCAGCGCCCATCGGAAACAGCGTCGGGGTTGGACAGCATGGTAATGCCGCACGGTGTGATAAGCAGTGTGACGCGTGCCTTTCCTGAACGTACTCGTTGTTTGTCTTATGCCGGTTCACCCAGTCTCTGGCTCCGAGTTTCTCCGTTCAATTTCCCAGATAATGATAATTTGCACAGCACTTCGCACTCTTCTTACAGAAAGCGCGCCATTGGATGCCTCCGCATTGTAAGGGTCGTGCGCTAACAGAACCCGTCCCTCCCTTCCCCCCTTCAAGGGAGGGGTGGTTTCGGACCCCACCCCTCCCTCCATTTCAAAGAGAGGAGAGGCCCCCCCCCCTCCCCCCCTTGCGCTAGAGAGGGGGAGGGGAGGATTTCGGACACCCCCCCCTCGGACCCCCCCCCTCCTTGCGCCGAACAGGGGGGCGGGGGGAATACTTCCCACTTCCCTGTGACGCGCCGGAGGTAGTGGGGGTCAGGGTTAGGGTGGTTGTTGGGTTGGGGTGCGAGTGTTACGGTTAGGGTGTCGTCAAGTTTAGGGCGTTAGGGTTAGCGTGTTAGGGTCGGGGATAGCGGGTTAGGGTCAGGGTGGTAGGGTCAGGCAGGGTTAGTGTGTTCAGGTTATGGTTAGGTTTCGGGGATTACGCTTAGGGTAGTACGGCTAGGATTAGGGATACGGGTAAGGTGTTAGGGTAAGGGTTAGGGGGTTAGGGTTAGGATGGTAGGGTTCGGGTAGAAGGGTTAGGGTTGGGGTCAGGGGGGGTGGGCTAGGGTATTAGGGTTAGGGGGTTAGGGTTAAGGCTAGGCTGATGGAGGCTTGGATTAGGGTGCTCGGGTTAGGGTTAGGGTGGTGGGGTTAGGGTAGGGTGTTCAGGTTAGGGTGAGGGTTAGGGGGTTCAGGCTAAGGTGGTAGGGTCAGGATTAGGGTTAGGGGTAAGGTGATTGGGTTAGGATTAGGGTTGCGAGGTTAGGGATCGGGTGGTAGGGTCAAGGTTAGGGTGTTCAGGTTAAGGTTAGGATTCGTGGGTTAGGGTTAGGGTGGTAGAGTTAGGATTAGGGTTAGGGGTAAGGTGTTAGGAAAGAGATTTAGAGGGTTAGGGTTAGGGTGGTAGGGTTCGGGGGGTAGGGTTAGGATTAGGGTCAGGTGGTTTGGGTTGGGGTATTAGGGTTAGGGTGAGGCGGTGAAGGTGAGGGTTAGGGTTAGAGGGCTCGGATTAGGCTACCTGGGTTAGGTTGCGGGTTAGGGGGTTAGATTTTCGGTGGTAGTGATCAGGTTTGGGTGATATGGAAAGTGTCTGCGGGTTAGAATCAGGGGGTAAGATTATGGTTAGTGTGTTGGGGTTCGGATTAGGGGGTTAGAGTGTTAGGGTTAGGGTGGCAGGTTAGGGGGGGAGGGTAGGGCCTCGTGTTGGGTCAGGGCTAGGGTGTTAGGGTTAGGGTTAGAGGATTAGGATTGAGGTTAGGGGGTTCAGAATAGGGTGGTACGGTTGGGTCTAGGGTTAGGGAGTTAGGATTTGGGTGGTAGGGTTAGGGTTAGGGTTAGGGTGTTAGGGGTAGTGTCATGGGTGGTCGGGTTAGGGTGGTAGGGTTAGTGTTAGGGTGCTAGGGTTAGGGTGTTAGGGTAGGGGCTATGGGTAGAGAATTAGGGTTAGGGGGTGTCGAGTTAGGGTTAGGGTTAAGCGGTTAGGGTTCGGGTTCGGTGGCTAGGGGGTTATGGGGGTTAGGGTTAGAATGGTAGGATTAGAGTTCGGGGTAGGTCTAAGATTAGTGCTAGAGGATCAGGGATCAGGGATAGTGTGTTAGGGTTAGGGTTAAGGAGTCAGGGGGGGTGGGTCAGGGTAGTAGGGTTAGGTGTAGGATTAGGGTGAGGGTTACAGGGGGTGTTGGGGTTTGGGACAGGGGTTTAGGGGTTAGGGGTTAGCGGTTAGAGCGTAGCGTTAGGGTTTAGGGTTTAGGGTTAGGGTGAGGGTGACAGTGAGGGTTAGGATGAGGGTTTGGAATAGGGTTAGGGGTTTGGGGCTTGGGGTTAGGGATTCAGATTAGGAGTAGGCGGTTCGGGGGGTTGGGTTCGAGGGTGGGGTCCAGAGCTGATGTTCCGGAGTAAGGGGGGGATCCGATCTCCCGCCCCTCTGAAAGGGAAGGGGGGGCCCGGGGGCCTGGTAGCCCTATAGCCCTATAATGTTATAGCCATATAGCCTCATAGCTTTATAGCCCTGTAGCCCTATAGCCCTACAGCCCTACAGCCCTACAGCGCTGTAGCCCCAGAGCCTCATAGCCCTAAAAAGATTATGCTTGGGGCGTTTCTCCGCTGGGCCCGCAGAGCGGGAGCACACGGCGGGCACCGCACGCCACCAGATCATGCCGTGGCTTGGGGCCTCCTGGAAAGCCTCTCCGGGGGCTCCTCTGTGGCCTCCCGGCGGCCTCTTGGGGTTTGCTGGGGAGCTCGGTAGGATTCGTGTTGTGAAGTCTGTCTTTCAGGCGAGCCACTTCCGCTTCAGCAGAGTCTTGAGCCTCGGCCGAGTGCTCGGATGTCTTGGCAGCCTTCCTCCAAGCTCCAACGACTTCCGGAATCGTCGAGCTCGTCCGTTGTTGCATCGTCTTGCGAGGGGGGTGTTACTTCGGGCGCAGCCGACGAAGCCGAGAGCGACGGCTTGACCGCGATGACCACCAGTTGGGCCGGTTGCCTCTGCATGTCGGCCAGCAGCTGCATGCCTTGGCCCGGCCCTTGCCCGATGGGCTGCTGCCACTACCGCCGCCGCGAGCACTTGGCGCCCATGCCCTCGCCGGCGGACCCCGTGGCCCCCGAGCACCGGCCTGCTCGTGAGCCCGCCGCGCCGCCGCCGCAGTCCTGCCTGGCGCCTCCTGCCCCGCAGCGGCAGGGAGGACCCGGGGCGCCCAGCTGCCGCCGCGGCCGCGGAGGCCCTGCCCCCTTTTCACATAAAGGCGGGCGTGGCCCGAGGAGTCTCTCCGTGCGCGCGTCGCCGCTCCTCTCGGCGGCGAGCCCGGCGGGGGAGCCGAGGGGGAGGAGGCCTGCTCAGAAGGCTCCGGAGGGAAGCAAACACACAGACACAATGAATCGTCGATTCCCCCGAAAATATTGGGAAATGTGGGAAGTGGGGGGGGGGAATACAAAAATCCAGGAAATATGGAAAAAGATGGGGAATCCTTTTATTTGTGTGTATTTTCTTGTGTATCCTTGGGCCCCTTCAAAGGCAGCGAGGTTGCTCAGAAGCCCCCGGGCCTTCTGAGAAGTGCTCTGTGCCGTCTCTGAGAAGGCTTCGGGAACTACTCGGGAGGCCCTGGGACTTCCGAGCCTTCTGAGAAGGCCCTCTCCTTCTCACTTCCCCCTGGGCTCGCCGCCGATCATCAACCCAGGGCAAACTTGCTCAAATGGAGAGACGACGCGCGCTGGGGCAGAACCAGCCCGCGGCTCGGGTCAGGCCGAACGGATTGGTCGGCTATTCGCCCTTTTCCGCTTTCAGACCCGGCCACGCCGCCTTGCCGACACCTGCCAACACTGCCCCCACTCGGCGCCAAGCTCGGCTCCCAGAAATCTTCCGACATGTGCCGATGATTTTCCCATTCATGTTTTGGCTCCATCTGCCTTACAAGTGCCTGCTCCGCCAATATTGACGCCTCCGCCAGCACCTCCGACACCAGCGTCGGCGCCAATGCCGACGCCGTGGCGAGCGCGACGACGGGCCATTCCGATATCAGTGGCGACGCCAATATTGGCACGAGCGCCAGCATTTGCGCTGGCACCCGCGACGACGCTTACTCTGCATGGCCGGCGGACCAGGTTCTTCACCTACGACGGCATCAATATGACCATCATCGCCCATGTCTGAGCATCGTACAAAATATGTCCGTCCTCATGTTTACCCCTTCGTAGGCTCGAGCGAGCCTTGGCCAGCAACGCGGCGTCTGTTGAGCGAAAACCACTGAGTAAGACTAGGCACGAGTCGGAGCCGCCACGCGTTAGCGGCGTTGCCATTGCGCCGATTGAACACGAAACACAAACGGCATCAGGGGTGAAACGGCGAGGCTCTAAACTGACGAGGGGGAGGAGCAAGATTGCTCACTGTATACTATGCTTCATTGTTCGATGCGTCAGCTTGCTATATCATGAAGCTGCCCTCCCCTGTAAACCGCGCATGGTGGTGGCTGGCTCGTCGTTGCGATAGGAGTGATGCCCGACCGTGGCCACCGGGTTTCAAAATACCTATGCGAACGCGGTGCCGCTGATGCACGGACGGGGCGACGGCGAGGCCCACGCATGCGCTATAAGCAGAGGCCCAGTGGCGCAAAACAAACCGCAACGCGAAGTGGCCAGGGGCGCGTACGAGCGCACTCGGCGCCGCGGCGAGAATCGCGCGAAATCTAAGCGAATGATCAATCGCATACGGCAGGTTCACGTCGTTCGAGCAGTGGCGAAGCGTCCTGGCGTGCCTATAGGCCTACCAGACAATGTCCTAAGAACCTTTTGTGGTTTCCACGAAATGTTGTCAGAACATTTCTGGCTGGGACTGTATTGTGTTAACACATCGGGTTTGTGTTCTTCGTTATCTGAACAATTTGGGTTCTAAGAGCATTTCATGGTAGGCCTATAGGCATGCCGGGACGGTCGGTCCCTGCTCAAGCCGTGTCGACCGGCGGCGACCCTTGCCGCCGGCGTTCAACGTTGAACGCCGCGGGCGACCCAAAACCGTTCGATGTGGAACGATTTAAGCGTTTC